CCACATTGGGCTCCCTGCTCAGCGGGGAGTCTGCTTCTCCCTCTGACCCTCTTCCCTCTCGTGCTCTCTCTCATTCTCTCTCTCAAATAAATCTTAAAAAAAAAAAAAAGAAACCAAGATGAACCAAGAGATGGGCTTTTGAGATCCTGAAATCAGTAATAACCTATCAGCTGGGGAATGAGTGGCACAAATCAGAAAATGGAAGAGCCACCTGACAGGTTTTTTTTTTTTTTTTTAAGATTTAGCATGCGTGAGTGGGGGATGGGTGGGCAGAGGCAGAGAAACCCAAGCAGACTCCATGCAGAGTGCAGAGCCCGAATCAGGGCTTGACTCACAACACTGATCATGACCTGAGCCGAAATCAAGAGTTGGGCCCTCAACTGACTGAGCCACCCAGGCACCCCAGCACCTGATAATTTCTTTCTAATCAGAATTTTTGTACATATTCCTTAACCTACATTCTATTGATGATGTGTTTTTATAGGTGTATATTTAATTATGTACTCACCCTTTGTATAAATTCCTTCTGTAACTTCTCTGAAGATTAGAAATGACTCCAACTCGGACAAGATTAAGACAGTAAATCAGAAGCAGATGTATGGCTGTGTAGCCTCACTTTGTTATTTTAGCTCTGTCCATAAGCAAAAGGAGCAGGGGGGCTGGGGAATCTAGCCACCACCAAATTTTTCTAGATACTTTAATACTTTTTTACCCAGAAGTTTCTTTATTTCTTCTGGCATGTTGCTGGTCTTCCTACACTCAAATATTCTGATTAAAAACAAAACCAGCCCCACTGTATGTACGTGTATATATATATATGAGTAATCTTTGGACAAGTATTAGCAATGCTCCTTTACACTTTTCCCCCAAGGTTTGTGAAATGAATGCCTGGTGTTCTGTGAGTGTCCTGTCATTTTAATTTCTTATTTTGAAACTCCACAGATAAATGGCCATATGAAATGTGTACTCCTAATATTGAAACCCATTATCACTTTTATGTGTAAAAAAATACACCAGCATCTTACATCTCTTGGTTGTATGTTTTGAGGAAGTATCTTTCTTATTTGTCCCTATGCAGTGTGACAACCAGGCCTGGCATTTATTGAGCAAGTGTTCAATAAGTATTTAAGTGAATACATTTAAGTCATATTTAATTAATTTGCTTTCCTGGCAAGATATTAAGCCAAAAAACCTCTCTTAATACGGGTGCCTATTTTCCTAAATTTGGTATGATTTATTTAATAGGGAGCAACATAAAAATGAAATGCCTCATTCCTTTTTACATTATCTCTTTCCAGTAGACTGTGCCGACCCCCAACAAAAATGTAATTTAAATGAAAGTAATATTTTGATGTCACGCTTTAGGTTCTGAAGAGTCCTAAAGGGGTCTTTGGACTTTCAGTTGCCATAACCTGCAATGCCTCTCCCTCATCTCTGCATATCCCAAATGTGCTCTTAGTAGGCTGTCAGAAGTCACATTCCTCCCTCTACAAAACCTTTCCTCATCAATCCAAATGATCATTTCCTGATTTCTGATACCCAGATGATAAATTTCTGGAAGATACTGTTTTATGTCCCCCCACATTTCTTACCACATTAGAGAATCAAGTACATTGTCAAAACTTTGGGGTTGACTAGGAACCTGACACCAGGAGGTATTTCCAAACCCTACCAGGACAATCCCAGCCTAAGGACAGCCCCTTTTGTTCTTTTTAAAAGATTTTATTTGAGGGAGAGAGAGATTGAGCATGGGAAAGGGGAAAAACAGACTCCCTGCTGAGCCCCACACAGGGCTGGGATCCCGGCACCCCCGAGATCAGCCGAAATCAAGTCTGACAACCAACTGAGCCACCCAGGCACCCCAGCCCTTTTATTTTTAAACGTCTACAAGATTATACTGTTTTCCCTCTCCTAATTTCCCAACGCCCCACCCCATCCTAGCCCTATCAGTTCTAATTTCCCTCCACTCCCATTTTGCTGGTGTTCCATTCCCATTGCTTTGACCTCGGCGGAGACAGAATAGCTGGTGGACATTCGGTCTGGAATAACCTTTCACATCCTTGTATGAGAGGCAAGTGAGCAAAAATTTCATAATTATTACAGTTGTGTTTTTACCTCCTACAATGTAGCAGGTGCCATAACAGTCAAGTCAATTTAAGGTCTTGTAAGTATGCATCAAGTACTATGGGAAAGCATTATATACACACTTGATTATACTTTGCTAAAGTGATTCGTTTTCATACTGTAGGACCCTGTTCATCTCTGATTTTCCTGAGACTGCTTCAGGTCCAAAACTGTCAGTCCTTGATGTGTTCTGTGAATTCCAA